TACTTTAAAAAAGCCATAGAAACACAACTGTCTAATAAGATCACAATCATTTAAGAGGAACAAACATCAGGACTGGAAAATACAGAAAGTAATTACACTTACTTTATTTGTAAAAAAGAGTTTGCAAAGTTCAAGAGAATAAAACAACCTCAAAAGAAATGCAGTACTACTTAAAAATGGCCCACAGGCAGTTTCAGTCACAGTTACTAAAACATTTCCATTTTCAAAATCACCTACACACAGCAGGAAAAAAGTCTGTTACGTATTCAGACCAATAGGTAGAAACTATCACTGCTATGTCTCTTACAGTGCTTGTACTTGAGCTTCTGTTTCTCACCTATCCCTGGAAATTTTCCTTAAAGTTTTGTTAATTTTCTGAACCTTCTAGAAATTGTTTCTTAAGCAGTTCTGCTTAAGTAACTGCTTAAGCAATTTCTTTTTATATATAATGGCAGTTGAACTAAGACAGACACATAAGTTTCAATGTAGTAAGTAAGATTCTAGCAGAATCTACAGTTTAAAATTAATTTAGAAGTACGTGAATTCCTTGATTGGATTTGATGGATTAAGGATAGAGTGTCCCTGAGCATTACTGTGACACCACACGTGAAAGCAAATTAGAATGAACATCATTATTCTCCTGTTAAAATGTGTACAAATCTAGCTACTGCACTGCAGTACTAGGTAATAGTGACAACAACAGAAGAACAAATCAACAATTCTGAAGGGAAAGACATAGCATAGAAACAAATATGACAGAAGGATACTTCAGATCTGAATACACTGACCAGCATGTTTGTTCTAATATTGCTTTGTAATTTAGGAAATTTATGTTTTAAATAGCAATTTCTTCTTTCTGTCTAAATATCAGCCTGGTGCCATGCAAATAATTATGATTTCTCAATTTGTACATGATTATTTAATTGCTGGAGCTAACTGAAAACAGCAGGAGCTTTGTCTGAAGTTCATTAATTTTACAGGATAGTAAATGAAAGGCCTTACTCCATGATTGCTTTTGCACATCAAGACTATAGGTAGAAGGACCTACATTAAGTAGTGGAACGCATTTACTGAGCAGAATTTTCCTCTGTAATTTCCTAATCACCCTGTAACATTCCTTTGTAAACACCTTCAAGATTACAAAGAACTTATTTTCATGCTGAAATAATTTAATACAAGACAGTTTGCAGAAAAAAATAAGTTGTTAATAGTTCATTGCTAATATTGTCAGTGTATGTGCACTTACACTTTGTTGGTTTTCTTTTATAATATAAAGGGCTGACGGACTGAGGATGATTTGTGGGTAAGCTAACAGAGAAAAATATCAAGTTAAGAACTTTATTAGAGATCTCCACTTCAGCTGATACTTTTCCAAGGGACTGGAACTGCTTTGGAAACACCCTTGCACACTTGAAACTCATTTTCATTTGAAGGCATAATTCCCACTCCATGGCACTCATGTCCCAGTGTAAACTCACCACAGAATTTGATCCCAGGAAGGAACCAGTGCTAATAAGCAACCTAAAGAGAAAGTCCTCATTGCTTCATATTCCTAAAACCCAGCAGACAGAGCTAAGCAGAAACTACTCTTTCAAGCAGTGGAAATCAGCTGATTATCTCAGTAAAGGAAAGACAGGCATTAATAAAATGCTACATGGGGATTTTTCAAGAAACTATGAATTATTTTTTTTCCTAAAATTATATTTATGTTCTTGTAAATGTATGTCAATTTTTAATGCAACTGAATCTTGTAGAAACAAAGATGAATGTATTTTTATGTCTATGCACTGTGGACAAAAACTTAAGTGGCTGAATTTGAAACCCAAGATTACGGCATTTAAAGCAAAAGATTTTAATAAACTTCCAATATCTACCCTGAGAAATAAGGCTGAAATACAGAGGAAAAAACCCCGACTGCCAGAAGATCATATCCTCTGTAGGACGAGTCAAACTTTCAAGGTACTTATTTCAGCCTCCAAATCTACTGGTCAGGTACCTATGTCAGGCAGACTGAAGTATCATTTCTTAGAGGAAAATCTCTAAAAACAGCTGTGAATGAAAGCAGTAATTAGTGGAGCATACATGCAAAGCTTTCTCCTGCTTTTGAACCATCATTCTTCTAGACATGTGCAGCATGGTCATCAAGGATTGATGGACTCCCAACTTTGAAGGAAATATCTGTATTGAGTGTTATTTGGTAACTATTAGAGTTACTTGACAGTAAAGAAAGTTCTCTCCTGATGAGCCGGCACACATGCCTTAACTGTTGCTCACAGATACATGTTAGAAATCACGCACAGAGACCCAATTCTATCCTATAGAGCCATGCACGGATTCTGCAAGGACAGTGATGTTTCTTGTCAAATTAAGGTGAAATGGATTCTAGTTCTCCAGATACTCCAGTTTTACATACAAAACTACCACTTGTAGATTTCTGGGTAAACCTGACACCAGAGTACAAGACAGACATGAACATATGGGAGCAAGCCCAGCAAAGGGCTGCAAAGAAACTGAAACACAAGAAGAGGCTGGGATTGTACACCCCGGGAAAGAGAAGGTTCAGAAGGGATCTTATCAATGTGTATGAATACCTGATGGGGAGAAAAGATGACAGAGTAAGACTCTTCAGAGTTGTATCCAGTGAAAGCACAGGAGGCAAGGTGCACAAATTGAAATACAGGAAATTCCATTTAAGTAAAAATATTTGTTACTGTAAGGATGATCAAACACTGGAATCAAAGTTGTGGAGTCTTCATCCTTGGAGATATTCAAAACCCAGTGAACATGTCCCTGAGCAATCTGCTCTAGCTGACCTTGCTTTGAGTAATGGCATTGGACTCAACAATCTTCAGAGGTCCCTTCCAACCTCAGCTATTCTCTGTTTCTGTGATTCTGCAACATAAGACATTGCAGATAGCTAAAGACAAGCAATTGAGTAGGAGACAGGTAGATGGATTTGCAGAGGTTTTAACTAGTAAATAGCTGTGATAGACTATCTTCTTTCTCCAAACCTCTGCTAATTTATGCCTTTCTGCCTTCTCCTCATTCCCTGGCTTATGAATATATTTTACAAACAATGTCATATGTCGTGTTTGTCAACTGAAACCCTCAGTCTTGTCACCCGCTATCTATATTACTTTCCATCTGCTCTGTTTAGATTATAAACACTGTGAAAAGGCAAGCTCAAAATTATCTGGATATCTGATCCCTTTCAAGTTGGGCAATCAAAATCACTAATCATATTTTGGTGATATAAAGAGGAAAAAGAGGAGCTTTCTGTTTCAGTGAGAAGTGGATATTTGAGAGAAAGAGGCATTAATGAAGATTTCTTTTTTTATACCAGAGAGATGAGGCTGAAGAGAACTTAAAAATAAATGCTTTGGTGTTTTTTGTATTTTAGAATAGAAACATAGTTGTAAAAAAATTCATTTTCTTTAGTAATTAGTCACACTGTTTTAAAAATGAAAAAAAAATTATAAACAAGAACAGCTTTTGCAGGTTTTTCCCAGTTTGGTGGCACTCAGTTAAAACTCCTCCTACACAAAGACTGAGTGCCATGTATCATACTGATTTGGGATTTTAACATTTTATTTTTAAAAATGTACCAAAGAATATATAAACAATTCATACAGTATGTATTTTTCCATCAGGACCTATAAAATACACATTTTTACCTTCAATTTAATAGGATCAGCTCATTAGGCTCATATTCTGTAAACAGCTTGGACTTGTATACCAAACAAGTCAGTGAAAATTCATACCCAGAAGCAGATGGTGAGAATAGCAAAGCTAATCAAAGAGAGGCTTAATTGTAAATTCTATCCAACTAAGCAAAATGATGGTATTCTACATTCACAGGCATTTTCTTCAGAAAGGAACCTAACACATCGACATGAAGGTTGAGGCAGGGGAGGGGACTTTGTCATTCATCAGGCCAATGACTACTTGGAGAACTGCCAACAATTAAACAGTATTCGCGTACAGTTGGCACCAACTTCATAGTGTTGCATGCTACGTAAAATTTTATGGCTTGTTGTCTTGCCAAAAGCAACACATCTAATGTTTTTTCTGTTAAATTAAAAATCAACAAGAGATTTGAAGTTGGCCTTCTACAAGAAGACAAGTAATTCAATTTACTCTGGTACAGTTCTCATTTAGAATGAGCCAAATTAACAGTGCCTAGACAAGGTATGTGAGAAATAAAGTCACATTATTATAAAGTTCTAATTTTTCCCTACTACTTCTCTACCTCATAATATTAAGAAATGGAGAGAAAAGCATAAACCTCTGTTACCAAAAAAGGAACACCTGTGAAAGAAAATTGCATTTCATCCCTGAAAACAATGGTATAGTTACTATAATAATCTTCATTACAGTCTTCTCCTGAGTGTGTGAGTATTTATTTCATGTTGCAGCAAGATTTCTTTGCTTTAACTGATTATTTTGATGTAATTCACTATTTAATATGACTAAGTTAGATATCTCTAAAATTGAGAAGGACTCCAAGACTTCATACCATATATGTCCAGAACTCAGTACTTCACTACTTTTGCTAAAATTTCAACATAAGAAAAAATAAAAGATTTCTTTTTCTGACAGAGAAATGTCAAAGACAGACAAGGTACAGTTTTCAGAGAATTCCCAATTTTCAAAATTAGTATTAAAATACAAAATCCTCTTGTGGAAGAAAAGGAGTAGCATCAGCTTTCATAACAGGTCAGTCTTGATGCACTAAAGTTTACTTCTTACTCTTTCGAAGCCATATAAAAGTAAATTTCCCATTAAATTTCTTATGGGATCCAATTTTATCTGCTATTACAAGCCAATAGGAGTTTTCGGGAAAAAAATTGCTTCAAGAGCCTCAATAATATCACCAAACATGAGAGACAATATTCATTTCCTGAGGACCTCCAATAAAAGAGCCATAATTTAAGCAGTAGCAGAGAAAAAACCCCAAACAAACAGATACAAATGTCACATTGAGAATGACTGCTCGTTACCTTCTAGGTGCTCCATCCTCATGCGGCTGAATAATCACCACTTTTACTGTCACCGATGTACGTAAAAGATCAATCATTTGTTCATGAGTCAAAGTTGCCACAGCCACTTTACAGATCTCAACCAGGCGGCTCCCTTGCCGTAGGCCTGCCTTCCATGCAAAACCAAAGGGCTCCACATCTGCCACTATCCCTTCAAAGTTCACATGGAATCCAAGTTGGCCCAACCCATTCCTCCGAAGGGTCATTTCCGTAGTTTCACATCCTCTGGTCACTATCTAAAGAAGTATCAGATTGTTACACTATTGTCAGGACACTCACTTCTTTGGACACGCAAACAAATCTGTTTTCAAATACTATAAAGCTGAATATGGCATGACATTACATTTCTTTAACATATTAATACTAACAATTATTTTGACATTTGTGGTTAAATGAAGGTTTCTGCATAGAACAAAGTGAACAGAACATTTCACAATGATAAAAATCTTACATCCCCAGAGCAAGCAGCTGATCCATGTCAAGTTCCTTCCCCCTTGCCCAATATTAACATATCTTATTGATATCTTATTCCATTTATATCTTACTGAAAACTTAACAGCTGCTTTAATTTCAAAACACAAAGCAGGCAAAATGCTATCGTGCCAGTTACTTCATTCTTGTTGGCTGTCTGACTGCAGGTACATAGGCATTTTTTCTTCAGTATTAGACAGTATTAAACTTGAGATACAACACGAGCCAAACTGAGCGAAACGCTTCAGTTCTCGCAGCTTTTCTTCCTCAAGACCATAGCAATGAAGAAAATTTTCATTTATTTTGCCTTGTAGTCATATTTCTAACTACCACCATCTCCAGATGTGGACATCACTAAAATGGCATAAGAGTTTTAATGTCACTGGGAAACTTAGAAACAAAAAAATTACTTTCTTAATATTCAATGAAAAGTAATTCTCTCATTACATAGAGCAGCCAAAATCATTCAAATTCAGACTTTGCTAAGCAGACTTGTTTTTATATACCAAGTAACAAGTCATCAACAGTTTTTCCCAGTAAAAATTAATCATACAGTAGCATGTGTGCTGGGATACTGAACCAGACTCAGAAAACCAAAACTCTAGTCTGCATTACAAGCTAAGTTTGTGAGTTATGCTATCATTTCCTTTCATCAGTGTCTCATAACCAGTATGTATTTTAGCTCCATTAGTACAATTAAGAACAAAAACTTAACCACTGAAAAAAAAATAAAATCAAAAATTGTAACAAATCTTTATTCATAATGTGTATCACTCAAAGATCTCACAGTGCTTTACAACACTCCAGCAAGGCAAATATCTGTCCTTTAAAGATGCATATGTTACAGTACAGATCAAGGGAACTTCCCAGGAGTTTCTACATTAAGAGTGGTTCCACAGTGTACCTTGTTCCACACAGCTTGTTCATGCTGTTTATGGTTGCTTTTAGCATGCATTACAAAGATACACACTCAACTTTAGGCATCTAATTTAAGGTGCTTAAGTTTGGAAGCTAGTGTCCTGTATAGTCAGGTGTATAGGATAGGTCTTTGCAGAGGTTTTTTTATAGGTTGAGCATAATTCAGGAGGTTATTTTGGAAGAGTCGTTCTCCCCCTCCACTGTTTATTTGAGCCAGAATCTGGGCAGTCTAGCTCACTAGCTTACTGTGTGCTTCCCACAGAAGCATGACCCAACCTAATTCAGGGCTGCACAGTGAGGAAGTGGGACTGTGCAGCTAGTGAGATGTTGGCACTGTGACTGGGTAAGGCTGTCACAAAACCACTCCTTTCACTACCCAAGTCAGAGGCATTTGACTAGGTGCCGTTTCATGGGAGGTTTAAACTGATCTAAGACCCTGTTACCACTATGCTGTCCCTTGTATCGCATTAGCAGTTGTGCAGCCGTGCAGACAGATCAGAGGGATGACACAGTTGAAAGAGTGCTTTTTAAAATAGTGTTCCAAAGGCAGGGAATGGATGGGAATGTCTCCTTCACTGGTGACTGTTATGAAAGTACGTCTCCATCACCAACAAAGGCACTTAACACATAGCAAATATTAAGCGGTAAGTTACTTTTGTAACTTCCTTTTTACACTTCCTGTTTAGACAAATCTTTTGTCCAAGTCTGTTATAGAGTCAGGGATGAGAGGCCTAATTTCTACTCCCTTCCCAATCCAACAGCTGACTGGAAAAAACTTTGGAGTGTTTGTGTTTTCAGTGTTCACAGTTTTCAGTACCTTAGTAAGTTTTAAAGCACTATTGACTTTATAGAATAATTCTATATGGGTATCTGTCACTCAGCAAAAAAATTAGAACTTGCACACGTGAAAGCAAAGTGCCACAAAACCATGAGTTATTGTAATTTTGCTCATCTGAGGGAGCTGGTCCACGCTCACACTTGTAACTTGTGATAAACACAAGGTAATGAAATATAGTTAGTCCTCATTCATTAAGGGCTAATCTTCATTGAGATGTGAAACACTGGAGGAAGATCTTGCAAGGATCTGATATTCTGAGAATCATTGCTTGCCAAATTTAGGTACTTAAACTGTAGCACTTTGACTTCATAAACCTTCCAGTTATTTCTGAAGATGTAGGCTTCAAACTTAAAATGTGAAAGTCATTCTTGAGATGTCCAAAATGTACTCTGAAGGTTTTATTTACAAAATCATGTTCTGGCTCTTCCTATCAAAAAAAGCAGCCATGTCCTTTGTCATTATTCAGCTCTTGAGTTTTTGGTATCTTTTGAAGCTTTCCATTTTAAACAGAACTTTCTGCTGTGTTTATAACTGTGCATATAGTATTAGAGCTATATGGCATGCTGAAAGCACTAAGCTTTAACTCTTTTTTTTTTCCAGCTCTGAGGTTCATCTTCAGTCATCACTAATTTTCAACAAGACTTTAATAATTTAAGAACTAGATAAGTGAAAAGGAAATTTATAGCTCTCCACTAGTTTCCAATCCCTACACTTCTGTCACAAGTTTCTAAAATATATACAATATTTAGTCATGCAGTGAAAAGAAGTACATGCTATTAGAGTCAGGAGCCCAGCTGAGGGATGGAATTTTATCCTTATGAAACCACACAATATTCTGGGCGGGGGGAGGGAGGGGCGACACCTCTTTATCATTATGTCACAATGATAGAATGAATTCTAGAATGAATGCACCAGTCAAAGGATATGGATTTCCCCAACTCAGAGCACTCAAAAATCTCTTTTTCAAGTTAGTTAAATTTTCAAAGGTTAACAGAGAAGGAAGATAAGCATTCCTGCCAAAGATTCATCTATTCTCAATGGAAAGGATTCCAGGAGATCAAGTCCTCCACAAGTATATCCCCTAAAAGGTGGCACTGCATGTTACATAGTAACATCACATAAAACATAGTGCTACTCCACGTCAAAATAGGTCATTCTGCTTACTTGGTTGCCATTTCATTGACCATGTGGCTGTACATGAACTAAGAGCCAGCTTCTCCAAATGCAGTTCATACAGATGAAATCAAAAGACAGACAACCTCTAAGTCCCATGAAGAAGGTAAAGAGTTTTTTTAGTATGCAGGCTTCTAAGGAAATTTTGTCTACTCAGATTCTTGTCTGAAGATACATTCAGGGTTTTTGTTTATCTTATATCACTCTGCCATTCTCTGTTACCATAAAGCTCAGAACCACTGCTTTTTCCACCTTCAAACACAGCCCACCAAGTTAATCTATAGTTCGCTTCTGCTGGTCTTTCTACTTTATATTTCTAAATATTCTTCCCCACAAATACAGATCTGACTCTTAGATTGGCAAATCCCAGCTCTTCTTTTAGTCCTGAACTGATTCTTTTGCTTCAAACCAAAATTACAGTCTCAGCTTTTCACATCTTTGCTTTATCTGAATATTCAGATAGGTTTCCTATTCATCTGCATGATTAAAACCCAGGCAATAAAATGTAGTTGTTTCTTTGACAAATCTCATTTAATAATGGCAACATTTTACTCAATGGTTTTAAGAAATGCTTTTACTAGTGACTGAAAAGGTTTAATCTGGTCAAGTAAGTTTGATATTATGTCACAGTTTGAGCTTTCATCTTTAGCATCTGCTGGCACATGTGGTTGTTGATCTTAGCTGATCACTTAAAGGGTTTTAAAGGATGCATATGAAGTGTGGAATCAGAGTTTTAAATACCTTTTTAGTGGTTGTAATGGTCATCTCTGAGCTTCTATATCAAAATGTACAGAAGGACTGTTTAGAAAGCATTCAACTTGTCAAACAACTACAGAATAACACTAATATGCAGCTTTCAAAAGAGAGGAAGAAGCAGGGAGAAAGGAGAAAAATATGAGGTAAGACATGGGGATTAAGAAAGTTTAAAGACAAGTAATGACAGCTAATTCTTTTAAGCAATGTGAAAGTTGGATAGGTGGCAGAGAAAGAGAGAAAGCAGAGTTCACTGGAATAGATACTTAAACCTAATATTCGGGTTAACTTGGCATTAACTGATACTAATTTTTTGAGACTTTAAGCCGATTTGTAATTATTTAACCCAAAATCTGACCATAAAAAAGAGGAAGTATTCAAGTAAATATAGATAAGCATTTCATTTTGTGTTTTTAATTACTGAATTTTAAAGATCTATCATCAGCAACTGGGATATTTCCATGTTTTGTAAAAATGAAGAAGTGAAAAACAGCAAAAGAAATTGTCATCACTGATGACAGAACTTGGAATCTTGTTTTCCATCTGTGTTAAGCAATTTATATTGCTCATTTAGCCATACTTAATAGGAGGAAACTATGGGTACTCTGTTTTTCAGAAGGGAAATATCTCTCTAAAAGACCTCAATGAAAAGGATAATGTAACAGTGGCAAGAAGAGTTTAAAGACATTCATCTATTGAAATATTAATTATACATTGGAAGAAAAAGGTTATTATTTAGAGCACGATATTGAGCAATGCTAAATGCAGAACTACAGAGGCCCTAAAACATCAGCTGCAATCCAACTGTTGCAGTTTGAAAATGGTAAGCATAACAATTTATTTTCAGCACGAGGCTTTCTAACATAGTCAAAAGTGAGACCATCTAGATCACTTAAATTACAATCAAAGGGTGAAGTGTAACCACATGAAGTAGATGCATCAGCACTTTAACCTTGGAGTTCCTGTCAGTTTATTTGTACTAACTGAAATAGTTACAGGACAGTCGTGCTAACAGGGTCATCGAGCATCTGAAAAACTTTATCCAGTCAGCTGTAAAAATTGGCATTAATCGGTCTAGTCTTCCTTACTTCCTGCAGTTGCTCAGTATAGAGGAACAAATCAGCAGAATCACGTATACAAATTTTTCTGCTAATATTCACATGGGTTATTATAAAAAGTCCAAGTGTGTATATCTTACACATTAAGATTTTGTATATTTTTAAATTAAGGTACATTTCTACCTACAAAGGTGTGATTTGAGAACAGGCTACAGCAAGAGAAGACAAAAGCTTAGCCTTTCAATCTTGATTTCAACACTGAAACCATCCGTGGCCTTTCGGCAAGCCTATCATATTATCGGTATCAGATTCCTCATCCCTGAAAATGGGTTGGTAACATTTATCTTGCACACAGTTGTGATGATTATTGTTTGTAATGCTCTCTGAAGACTGAAAACACTCCCAAAGTATAAACATAGGACATTTTTAATTATATCTCAAAGGAGATGTTGACAAGTAACTCTTCATAAAAAATGTGGAATACCAGTCTAGAAACTGTACTTACTTCAAGTCTTTGAACAATTTCTCTTACATCTTCAGTACAATTATCTGCTGCAGACAGAAGAATACATTCTCCTCTTTCATAAAATATTTTGATGCTCATTAATCCAGACGTCCATCCAATAACATCTCTGCAGGAGCAGTTAAACACAACATTTTTTGATTCCTTTTCAATCAACATGATAAACTCATTGGAGATTCCAAGGAGACATTCAATGTCAGCAGACTGGCCAAAATCTCGTGCAATCACATTCCACATAATTGCTCCAACACTGAATAGATGTGCATCTTTCCTTGGTTTCACTTTTTCCTTTTTTTTTGCCCCTAAAGTGATAAAGCTAAATTTTGCTGAAGTATCCACTGTAGCTGTGGTAACAAAATTTTCTGCCAGATCTTTCAAGTATTCTTGACGTGTCCTTGTGGCCATGGCTCGAAATTTTTCTGACTTATGTGCTGCATTTTCAGCATTAATAACTTTGGCTAAAAGGAAGTCCCTAAAGACTGCTGATTTGGGGAAAGTTACTCCTTTGGGAATGGGTGGACCGAACGGAGGTACATCTTTTGATCGTGAAACACCAACACTGGAAATAAAAATAACAAAATATAATGGTTAATGCCTAAAAAAAAAAAATCAGATGATAAGCAGAACTGTGATCTGCGCAGTCCATTTACACCGTTTAGTTTAGCTTTGACGTCAATTTTCAGACATTTTAGACACACCTAAGAAAACTGATTGGGTTGTCTGTTTTAAAATGGCTTTTTTCTTTTAAATGTATAAAAGACATTATGGAAGTATCTTACTAACACGAAAAATATCAAGGACGACTTCTTAGGTTGTCACAGTTTCCTTTCTTTAATGGAATAATAAAAAAATGCTTTGTGAGACATGAGAGAAGTATTTTTTAAATCTTTTTTTTTAATGTAAGTCTGACTGTCATTTTCAGCTGTCACTCAGTTGCATGATCTTAAAACTAAAAAATATATAAATAGAAACAGAATTTATTTTAATCCTCAGACATTAGGCTACAATGAAGTATGAAGACAAAGAAAAAGTATCAGTGTCAAATGTGTCTATAATGGGAGCATTCTGCAACTGTTTAAGTTGCCTACTCTATATTAATAAAATTTCAAAATACCTGCGATTCTTTCTATGAAGAGTTCACAGCAAGATGTAAAAGAAACAGCAGTATTTTCTCACTGATACAATTATACCTAAAATTGATATCTACATAATGTATTTCAACTGAAAAAGGATTTCAAAATACTGTACAAACTACGTAAAACTATGACTAGTTTGACTGAAATGCAGTCACATTTGGGATGACAGACAGACATAATTTAGTAATAAGAAAAATGTAACTTATGAAATGTCAGGTATTATTAAACACAAAACAGCTACTGAAATAAAATCAAGCTCTAAAAGATAGCTTAAGTTCTAAAAGACAGCTAAAAGACAGTAATATGACCCAATCTTATGATGTACATTAATTTCATTCTAAACAATAAGTAAACAATATTTATATATGCTAAATCTTCACCATTATGCTTCAAGTCCCTATCATTATTTGCAGAATTCCCAATAAGTTCAGAACTATGCTTCCACTCCAGTTACCTTGCTAGAATTCACGATGCAGTAACTTAAACATGAGAGTTAAGGTCACCTGAAATTTGAGATGTTTTTAGACTCCCCAAAATTCCTCATTCATGTGCTTAAAGGCCATGACTCATACCAGTGTCCTATTGGGATTCATACAGGTTAATAACCTTCTAGAATACTTTATTTTAAATCACTTTCTTTGAAAAAGGAAATGCACACTACAAATTAACTTCTATTGCTATGTCTGCAATTTTTCACTAACACGTTATATCCCCATGTTGTGCCCAGAAATTGGCAATACAGAGTTCTGCATATACCCATTTACGTCTACAAACTGTGCCTCATAACTCTAGATGTGTGTAAGGGAGACACTGGGGTTTCAAACTCACAGAAAATGCAGCAGAAATTTTTAAACTGTATACAAAATCTCTCTAGGAAATACAAAACTGTTAGAAGAGGCTGTTGCAGTCTTAATAAAAAACTTAAATAGTTATAAGACTCTACTCACCTATAGCACACATTTTCAGTGCAAGGATTATGCACTTTGACTATGACAAATACATGTTGAAAGTGGGAACGAATATTTTTTGGAGTAAAAGGAAGTGCTCCTGGCTCTTGGAAGACAATGGTAACTATGTCATTTCCTATATGTCTTTTCCTTAGCAGCTAGACAAGAAACATGCATTGAAAAATTAGTTATAAAAGAAAGAATTACAATTTCTTTATTTTAGACAAACAAACAAACAAAAAACCCCAAACCAAAATAAATTAAGCTTAATTTTTCAGAAATAACTTTTAATTAATCATATTCTGGATAGCTATAAAGAGTATCGGACTGAACTGCAAAAAGATAGGGAAAGTGAGCTAAGTTCACAAAAATACTAGCGAGTTCTCTCACATCCCCACACTAGTTCTGTATAGTTTCTGCTCAGTTATCTTTTATTCTATGAGAATAATATATTTCTCCTACTTTAGTGCACCACTTCTGGTAATTAAAAAAATGTTACATCACTTGACATTTCTCACTATCCAGAGAACTGTACATCAGTTCCCTATTTACAGTGTAAATTTGCTTCTATATGAAAAATATAGTACTGCTTTCTCAAGAAACCTTCCTTTTCCATGTTGCATTTTTATTAAACATTGTCCTTAATATTAAGATCTTAATTTTTTTAAAAATAGATTATCATGAATACTCATCCAAGTTTTAACAACTGCATACTTGAGGAACAGAGCTGAGACACAGAATACTCATGGAGAAACAACAGCTATTAGAAACTCATTAATTAAAAACTTATTCTTGTAATTGGTAGCTTTTATCACCAAAATATCTTTAAGGAATAATTTAAAGTACTAAATCATTGTTACAGGCTAAAATAAAAACTACAAAACACTTACAGCAATAAGGAACCACTTCTCTCTCAAAAAAAAAACCCCACCCAACAAAACACCACAGTAAAATGATGTTCACTTTCCTCATGGAAAAGTGAACTTTTCCTCATATTGTACCTCTCAAATTTTCTTATACTTTTCTTAAATACCTGTGCTCATAAAACATCCATGTATATCATGGATATACAGTAGTCTAGCATGTGTTACATTTTAAATATCCACTCAAAGTCTGCTAAAGACCTTGCTTTGTCAACTAGTAGCATACAGACACAGAAAGCTTTACCTTAGCTCACGCGTAACTAAAAAGGATATAAGAATAAATTTATTTGAAAACTTTATGACAGAACAAGTAAAAATTTCTCTATTGAGCTGATTTTATGGAACATAGTCTTTCTAATAAGAGTATTTGCTTGTATTTTCTCAGTTTCATTAAAAGTTAGTATTTTAGCTACCAACAAAAAAAGCATAGTTGGACATGCTAAAGCCTAAGACCCATAAATATATTTCATTATATGTCCTAAAATAACATGAAAGATGGTCTTCTAAAAGTAGTAAGAAGGGCCAAAGCCATAATTTTAAAGCCCTCAGTGTATCTATATTATTTTAAATGTAATCAAAATTATGCTGATTAAATAAGTAAGACTTCTGATGAAACTTTAAAGCAGATATAAGAACAGAAAATAACATTTGGTATAACTCATGTCGCTCAGTCAACTTTTCAGGTTGTTAAGACTAAAATAAAAATAACTGGCTATTTGAGCAATTTAAGATATACACCCTGTTGCGTACAAATTACAGTAGAAGTACACTGCGTGGAACTGATCACAGAACTAAGTGTGCCAGGTATATTTTAATTTACTGAGCTAGCGAACCATACAATTAGGTCATAGTAGTGAAGCACAAGTTCATGTTTAGAGGTTATTATTATCACCCAGGTTGGAATTTATACTACAGTCAAATTTGTAAGAAACCTTCCAATTATGAGATACAAGGTGATTAATTTCTGCCTTTGTTATATAACTAACTGCCCAATTACTCTTACTGTAGTGGTTCATGCCTATGCCTATACAATTCCACAGAGCAAAATTACAAAAATTAGAAAGCTAGATCCTGTTTAAAGTTATATTTATTTCTCAAGACAATCATTGTTTTCAAGAACATTTTCTGCTTTTGTAGACCTCTTTAGGAGGTTCTGCTTGCCATCATAGGTTGCTTAAGCAAGAATAGCAGTCACTTAATAAGAGGTAAGTTGTAGAAATGTTTGAAATTTTACTAGCAAAAAAAAATTTTTTTTTCAAAATTATGGCAGTTCCCATAGCCTATCCCTAAACTATTTTTCAAGAGCTTAAACCTCTAAGAGGCACAAAAATAGGAAACAGAAAGTCAGGTCATCATTTTTAAGAACCTTACCAAGCTTGCAGAGATCTTAGTGACTTCTTCAACAATTTAAAATAAAATCAGTGTAACATTGTTATAAATAACTGTCATGCATAAGTGGTCAGTGAAATCAAACACAATGGCAAAGGCAAACCACAGTCATGGCTGTGCACAGAGTATCATAATGCAAAGAACTTGGAAAGGGGAGAGGAGTAAACTGGGGTGATCTGGAAGATGGAAAGAAGTGCTCTGAATAGGATAAAGGAATAGGAAAAGAATAAAGTATTGAATGGAGAAGAAGGAGGGAACACATACTTCCCTGGGAAATGTGAGATAAGGATAGCATACTGAAAATGAAAAAGGAATTGAAGGAAACCGGAACTAAGCAAAAAGATTTATAAAAAACACTTTTCTAGTTTCCATTCTATAATCTAGATTTTCCTCCCAATTTTTACATCCTAGTTTGTTTTTTATTTCAGGTTCTCAGTTTCCCCTTCCTCTCCCATTTTGAGGTCTGCTCACGTTTGTGGTTTTTGGGGGTGGTTGTATTATTAATTTGATTTTAATCTGCCTTTCTAACATACTTTAAAGAGTCTCATGCCAATGCAGAACACAATATAACTCTCAACAGGGTGCACAGATTACAGAGGATTACTTACAGTAAGGAGACAATCAAACACACTTTGACATCATTTTGGTATCAGTCTAAATTGGCATAGTAGAATTTGAAAATTAACCCAATCAAGTATGATGGGCAGCCAAAAGGAAATCAGTGAAGTTTTGTGTAAGAATACAAGACACGCAAAGGGGAGTCTGGTAAGGAAAATATGTTAGAAAAGCAGAATTCATTAGATTAAAATTATTTATATCCAGAAATAGTTATTATATTAATTTTGAGATTTTAACTACTTAATTCTTAATTTTCAGATATGCATCTCTGAAAAAAAGTACTGTCTTAAAACTTAGCATATTTACAGGTTATGCCCAGCCATAAAAATCTACCCACTTCTGTGGAATTTTATTTGCCTAGTAAAACTGCGAAACAACAAGGAATTCTTGTTGAAACAGCAGTGAAATATATTCTTCATTCAATTAAATGATGAAACATTAAAAATTAAATAAGAACATCTTCAAACTTATTTTAGTACATTTCTAAAATAAGTGGTTTCAAAATTTTTATTTTAATTTGTGTTCTTAACCAGTACCAAAACAAACAGCAAAAGATATTTCATCAGGTATGGTTAAACCGAGTTTGGTATCACCACATGTTTTGTTATCCCAACCATTTTAACAGTAGCTTAAACTCAAAAAGTTTATTTCATTACTGCATATCTGTTTAATTTTTAAGTTTTCATTAAATCAAGTGAAAACTGGTTATTTGAACTGATTTGGATTTATTATTTGAACTGATTTGCATGTACATGCTGACCACGTGTACACAAGCAGACTGCAAATGTGTGAACAGGAAACTTGCAAGGGAATGCTTTGGAAGGGATGTTGCAAAGGTAAAAGTTTAAAGGGGAAAGCCTTGAACTATGATTTGAAGAAAAGGCCAGTAAAGGAAAAGAAACTGGCCACACCAGGGCTGGTAGTCTTTTCTGTCCTAGGGAAGGAGCAGCTGACTTGAAAGTTCCCAGCCTATGTTGCAGCCAAAATGAAGATTACCTTGCTCTTTGGATCTCCTGCTGGCTCTAAAACTAGAGGGATGTCCTGATCAGGGACCAAGCAGGGTGTAGTTATGTCCTGGAAGAAGCAACAAACAGTTCTGGTGTGGCCCGTTTTTGGCTCACAGGTATTTGGAATATAAGCAATGCCCAGTGCTTGCTCTTCAAAGGTCATAGGCCTAGATGATGAAGAGTGACTCAATACCTTGCCCAGTCATTACCAAACAAGGGACATAGGGACAGGATGCAGTAACCTCATTGCCAGTACATACACAATATGCTAGCAAAAAATAACTATTGAATTGGGATTTGCATGGCTAACATAACCTAAAGGGAAAATTACCATGGTCCCTAACTTCCCCTTACTTGGCTATTTAAAGTTAGTGAGCCAAATCCTGAAGAGACAAACGACATTCATATTCCTCAGCACCTCTGTCTTGAGCACAACTGATGCAACTGCATCTGTGGTTTTCAGCATCTAAAATGTCTCATGAAAAAAAGACCTAATTGAATTTTATCCTAGCTTGTGAAAAATAACACTGTTGATACATTTCACATGTCAGTATGTATTTTGGAACTAAACAGTAATAGAAGAAAACTAAACAATGATTATAGATCCCTTTTGCACATTAAGGCTGGCTAAATTCTGGTCACTTGGGTGCACTTGTCACATTTCATTAAGATAGTGTCCATGCTGTGCAAATACTGCTAGATCCCAGCACCTAAAAAAATAATGTGGTGGGTCTTCAGATAGGTATACTACTTAAACTTGGAAAACTACCACATTATTTTGATCCCAGGAAAGCCATGAGTAACAACGTGGTGCTTCTACTAAATATTGAACCTGTTAAAGTGACAATCATGAGAGCTTGCTAAAACACCGTGGAAAAGAGTGCTTGTTGCTGGGGAAAACCATGAAGTCAAAATTGGAAGATTTTGCTATACACAAGAATCAGCACCTGACTATAAAGAACGATACAGAAGGAAATTATGAGAATGAAAGGGAGGAACAGGAAGAAGTGAAAGGACAGTAACAGGTGGTAGTTGAGCAACACAGCAGTGAAGCTGACAAACAGCAAACAATATGAAAAATAGTGGATCATGGCAAGAGAATTATATCCTGTTCTGACAAACAAGGGAAAGCCATGGGAAACAACAAGAGTAATAAACTCCAAGTAAGGCCATATTTACTGTCGGTGCCTGTGATTAGCTATGAAAATATTAATTTTTTCCTTTTAAGGCAAGCTCATTCAGTGTATTATATCTTCTTAATAGTGTACAGTTTTCCCTATTTACATGTGCTTTCCAATCAAAGATTGTTATGACTTATTACAGAGTAACACCTAGTGTGCTTACTAAATTAATCCTGTATTGTAATAAGGTGTAAGTGAAAGTTTAGAGGAGCAATATCAAATCAGTGATGATGATCTGATACCCTGATTACTAGCTATTGGCACTGTTGAGTGTGTGATATAGCTGAACATTCTGTCTTCTGAAAACCAAGCTTTTTAAGATGTGGTCATCTAAACATTCATATTGTTCATATGGTGAAGAGTTTCTGTCTTTTGATTCCTAACTTAGTTTCTTTAAACTGCAAATAATTCCTAAGTGTAATGGAGTAAAAATTGCAGTTATCTTAACTGCTCACTTGAAACAGTTGTTCAAACAGTTCAGAATATTATGCACTATTTAAAATACATAAATACGTTATATACTTTCTTCCATTTTGATTTTCATTTATCCTCTCAACAATTTTAATAATTTTCTTTTATCTTTTTCTTGCTGCTTTGACACATCTCTTTTTCTTCCCACAAGACCTATTGATAGGGTAGACACGAAAGATACAACTCACATATCATTTAACAATCAGTAACCATCTTTTCTATGCTGTTCAAAAAGAAAGTGAGATAGCATCTTTATTTCATGACAACCCTCCAAAATTACCAAAATCTTTATATCTTGCATGGCAATGACAGACTATTATTCTAAAACTAATAAATCCAATACTTATTTCTGCAGATGTAGAAAAATGCAGAGTAGTAGCACAGAAAGTTATGAACTATCATGAGTCTGACCTACGAGCAATTCTATTGCTTTTTTTTTTAAAGTGTTAATGTTGATATATTATACCAAATGTGCTTGTACTTTTTAATTCAGTTGTAAGAAACATCTGAGACAGGCAAGACAGAGTAACCTTACTGGTGCAACACACACTTTGGATGCTGTGCTGGTTTTTAGCCATCCTTAATGCTTTAAATATATTCTGAATTACTACATAAGGAAAAGAAATTCTCCAGAAATAAAGTAAGTACACTGCAGTTTTCTGTCTTCACAAGCAAACACCTTTAAGGATACACTTAAGCATTTATTACTAAGCTGACACATTAATAAACATTTCAAGATCTGTAATATAAGGCTTAAGTGTAATAATTTAAAAAATCTTATTGGATGCGTATTTTAACCATAAGACTATTTTCAAGCTTCATTCCATTCAACTTTTAAATCATACATAAGATGTAAATCCAGTCCAAACTGAAAATAACTCATTCACCACAGGCATCATTATCTTTTGATAATATCATGAAATGGGGGAGACAGGATAACTTTCTGAATTATATAGTATAAGAAATCCTATGAGATTTCGAATGCCTTACAATATTTCAAGAAAAAAAAATACAATTGAGTCATACTTCATCTAAAATGATTCAGCTTTAAATCAGTATACTCTTAAAAAAAACCCTCAATGTCAAACATTTATAATGTAAAATTACAATGAAGAGTCAAAGAACATACCTGTTGCCTGTTACTGGGCATGTATGGAAGCATAGTTGATACATGAAACATTAACTCATAGTCTTTATAGGTAGTATACAGGGAATGAGTTCCTGTTGAATCAGCTGAAAATGGATTTAAGCGCAAGAAGGTCAGTAAAATAGAACATTCATACTACTTTTTAGGGCACCACTCTTTGCATGCTATGATTTAAATCTAGTAATGCAATTTAAAACTTTTTTCAGTAGAACAAAAACAGTTTACCTCAGCTAAAGATCTACTCTTTAGTTTCATATTATGACATAGAAGGGTCCTGCAAGAAATTGCCAAAGAGTTCGCTGTCCATGGGACATAAAAGATCTAATTTTGAATATATTGGCATTTCATGAAAAAACAAAACAAACCCTTTAGCTACTTGAGTATAGTTTTATAGAATATATATTTTCATTATTTAAAACATTAATAAGGAAAAATACCTTACAAAAAATAAACTGATAATGCTACTTCAAATATGACAATAAAAAATGTACTGCAGATCAGGTATTTTTAAAATGTGAAATATGTACATAATACATTGTAGTACAATGACAAATAATTTCATTGGGAAATTTCAGATATTTTAAAATTATTAAAATACATTTCATGTATGATATGACTTAGTATTTTTATTGTTTTTATCTAGGAAGTTTATTAATAGAGTTAGCATTTCAGAATGTTTACAGCAAATTAGATGAGTTTTACTCTATAGTCATAAATTAATCAACCCTTTTTATTCTCTTTAACATGTATGGAATATTTAAGTAAGTACAATTAACTTTAAAGCAGTAGGTTAGAAACACCCTATCAAATGGAGGCAACTATCAATTTTTCTTATATTTTTCCATGTTCACGATTTTTTAAAATATATTTTTATATTATCTACACCAATAAGCATTCTCCAGCACTCTTCTCCACACACTGTTAAAGGTTTTGGGGACTTGTGTTGTTTTAAATACTAACTGTATTCCAAAAGAAATTGATTGGCCATGTTAGTTCTCTGATTAAAAGTATATAAACATACGCTTAAGTGTAAAATTCAACAGTAATCACACTGTATCTGCAGCCTGAAAATATTTATGTGTGTGTACAATTTTGAAGACATTCATATTACAACTGGTTTCATCAGTTATGTTTGTACAATAATAAAATTAACTTCATTTTTTAATCTTGATGTAATATAAATTACAGCTCCATAAGAAAGAGGAAGCGTAATTTCCACTGAAGTTTCTTTCTTAAACATTGCTTAGAAAAGCAAATGTTATTGCACGCCTCTATTTTAAAATCTTTGTTGAAAATATAATTCCATTATAACATTTCCCTGGCATTTTAGAAAGAGACTTTTGAAGAGATGGAAGGAGGAAATAAATTATACTGTGAAATACAACTACTCTCTAACTCCTTTTGCAATTATATATTAAATAAATTCAAATTATCTTGAACAGATGTTGCACAAAACAGTGCCTTTAAATACTTGCTACAGAAAGGCAGGTTCCTTACCCTTAAATCAATGCTTTCCTAATACAACATCCTACTTAGTTGAATACTTTTGATTTAGCACCTTGACTTTGGAAATAAGCTAGCAAGTTTTTCTTCTGAAATTTAGTCCCTTACACTAAGCAAGCTGAAATCTTCTAATTCAACAGATGCTTTATTGAACACCTACTAAGGCCCACTGTGATTAAATTTACATAACAGTTGCTACTAGAAACATTACTCTGCTGACAATCTTAGTGAAAAAAATTATATCTGCGCTGACATTTTTGCATCTCATTCCTTTCTGAACATTAGTTTTATTTCACAAAGTTTGAGACGTTGGCTAGACTTTTTTTCCAGTTATGAAACATTTGGTTTTTTTTTTTTTTTCAGAAAAGCACCTTTTACTAAATGAAAGTGAAACAGCACTATTCCTCTGTAAATATAAAATTGTAACATTTCCTCAATTTTTTTACCTTCATTTCTCTCTTTATAGGTATAAGGAAATGAAGGTATAAGAAGGGCAGAAAAGTTTGTAGTTCATATATTCCACATGTTCTTCACATTTGCACTGGGTCTGGCTTGGATGGAGTTAATTTTCTGCATAGCAGCCCATACAGTGCTGTGGTTTTTATATGTGATCAAAACCGTGTTGATGACACACCAATGTTTTAGCTATTGCGAATAGCGCTTGCACAGCATCAGGGCTTTCTCTGTTTCTCACTGTCCCCCACCGCAGGAGTATGCTAGGGGTGGGCAAGAGGGAGGGGACGCAGCCAGGACAGCCGACTCGAACTGACCAAGGACATATTCCATACCATACAACATCATGCTCTGCAGTAAAACTTGAGCAGACAGAGTTTTTCCATGGTAGCTGTCGCTCAGAGACTGGCTGGGCATCATCTGATGATGAAGTGATGCAAGTGATTGTCTTTGCATCACTTGTTTTTGTGTGGTTTTTTTTGTTGGTCAGTTGGTTGACTCTTGTAGTGGTACGTTAGTTTTTTTTTCACAGAACCACAGAATCATTAAAGTTGGAAAAGACCTTTAAGATCATAAAGTCCAGCCATCAACCCAACACCACCATGCCCACTAAACCATATCCTGAAGTGCCATGACCACACATTTTTTTGAACACCTCCAGTGATGGTGACTCCACCACCTCCCTGGGCAGCCTGTTCCAATGCTTGACCACTCTCTTCATAAAGAAATTTGTGGGGGTTTTGTGGAATTTTTGTGGTTTGGTTTTGGGTTTTTTTTGGGGGGGGGAGCAGTGTGTTTGTTTTTTTCCTTTCTTTCACTTATTGAACTGTCTTAATTCACAAGTTTTCTTGCATTTGCCTTTCTGATTTTCTCTTCCATCCTGTTGGGGGGTGTGTGAGCAAGCAAGTGGGTGGCAGCTTACCTGCCAGACAGGTCAACACACCACAATATTCTACATTCTATCTTTCATAAGAAATGGACCAATTAATTACTTATAAAAACACTAAATAAGCAGACCAAATTTTTTTTTAAATTAACTTTTTAAAGAAAAAACCCACAGCTGGTGAAACATGTGAGAACAGAAAAACTTAATAAATGTGAACCCTACAAAAACTGAGCAAGAAACATTACTGAAACATTATGCCTACCAAACTTGTAGCTACTAGAGATGAAATTATTACACTATTCTGAACCTGCAGGCAGTCAGATCAATGTATTACCCAGTTATAAATACAACATGCAGTAATACTTGTTTCAATATAATGGTACAACAAGTATAACACAAGAAAGATGATTATTAAGTCAGGTTTTTTACATTTAACATAAAACTGAAGGCTGTATCTTTGTGAACTCTCTTAATTCCATTCTGTTTGTTGCAAACTATGAGAACTTATTATGACTATCGTTAACGGCACACAGCATTAGTAAAACATTAAAATTATGTTACAGAATGATATGTACACAATGCCAATCGGCAATATACATTCATATTGAAGCATGGCAAATACAGAAACTGAATTTGCTTGACAGACAAATTTTCATTTGTAAAAATTACTAGGTGATATTCGTTCATGCTCTGATTGGGGGAAAAAAAAAGGCAAAACCAAAACACCCCTTACTTCCTTGAATTTTTCATCCTCATTTATCAATTCATCCCAGAAGTATGACAACCACAGTATGTTAACAAATATTTCTACACATTAATTTGAAAAATGAGTTATTCTTCTGTACTGAAATAGCATGCAATAGTCTCTATCAAGCCTGAATTATTAAAGTGAAACAAGCATGGATTTAAGCAGAGGCAATAATGTTAATAAAAATAAATGTGTGGTTATGCAGGTTGATAGGACTATGGAATTGCAGCTTTCCCAGCTTGCAAGTCATAAAATAGAATCTGTCACAGGATTCAGCTCACTTTTTTCATCATTTCCCACCACTACTAGAGATGGAGAATGTGTAAGATTTCTCGAGTTGCAAAGCTGGTCTCCCTTGATTGAAAAAATGTGAGGCTTTATCAGCAACCTCACATGTCTCATTTCCAACTGGAAATTGGCCTATGGACAGTTTATCTGCCCTGGGTGCCAACTACAATGTACACACACTAGACATTTCAAAAAATTTCCAATATGAATCATTAAGTCTCTCTCCTAATACTGTACAGATGACAGTCCATCAGGGCACAACCTGAAGAAGAGAAATCCTTTTATGGCTACGACACTGATCAGTGTTCAAATGTACCATTTAAAACAAAATAAAAATCCAGATGTATTCTAGGTAAATGGAGACTGATGCTAAAGTAGGAATCTCTTGCGTGTTTTTGATAAGAACCACTAAGAACTGGTGGATAAGAGGCAGGAGGAACAGAGAAGCAAATAAGAGGACTTATCAATTCCTAGATCTTTGTGACTATCTGAAGGGCAAAATATCTCTTGCAAGAAAAGATCTTCCCTTAATTTCCTTTAAATACATCTTTATAAACTTCCTTCTTCACCGTTTATCTCCAACAGTTCAAGAAACTTTCCCATTTAATTAGAAGAGTTAGTAGAATACACACACAAGTAGCAGGATTTAATAGTGTAAAAAGATATACTTTGCCAATAAAAATATTCCTTTTCTATCATACACAGGCCATATACAGTATATAAAAAAAATTCTATTTTCAGGATGCAATATGCAAGCTACAGCACAAATAAGGATACAAATCAAATTGTAGAATAGTTTGGGTTGGAAGGGACCTTTAAAGGGCACGTAGTCCAACACCTCTGCAATAAGCAGGGACATTTTCAACTAGATCAGGTTGCTCAGAGCCCTGTCCAACCTGACCTGGAATGTTTCCAGGGATGGGGCATCTACCACCTCGCTGGGCAACCTGTACCACCCTCATTGTAAAAAATGTCTTCCTTGTATCTAGTTTTCATACCTATAAAAATAACATGTTACAATAAAGTAGATGAATACCTAGATATCCTTAGATCACAGCTAGTAGTGATCAGTTGTCAAAATCCTGTTAAAACTACATTAAACTAAAAATGAGGTAAATTAAAGGGCAGTGAAAAGCAGTGCTAAAAGAAGCGTGTTAACATATCACTGACTTTTTTAACAGCAATATTTCACTTCCTATTTTTGCTACAAAACCCAACAAATTTGTACATTTAAATTATTACACTATTGCACTTAGGGAGACTGAAAGACCTGAGGAAATGGCAGTAATAACACAGTGGTTAGGTAGATGAATGTTTATCAACTGCCAAAATGATAACATGCTTACTGTGCATGTGTGAGAAACTAGAAAACTGAGGAAACTTGATTGTTCGTCAAATATAAACATCAATATATATGTTGATTAAAAAGAAGCACAGAAGTTTAGTTGAAATCAGGAAAATGGTCCTTTGTCATGACTTCATATTTTAAAATACGTATCTTTTGCCTTTTTAAGAATAAGATATTAAAGTGTAGCTGGGAAATTCTGAAATATAAAAAAAATATCATTCACATAGTACGATTTTAACTAAGTACAAACAAATGGAATAAGTTGCTTTGATTTTCAGTTCTACTAATGCCACAGAAAAAGTAAATAAACTTTCAGACAAGGTGTGATACATGCCTTTATCATATGCTTCATCTTCCTCATTTACCGTATATTTTTACTAGTCAAAACCCAAAGTCAAGAGCATGAAAAGAAAAACCATGATTTGCAGAAGATCAACTGGATAATTATAGTTTCTACCATAGGTCAGACACATAACTTACTTTTATTATCTAGCTGAGCCCTGTATTTACTAAATCCTTTTAGCCGTACTCTCTGGCCCAGCAGATCAAGGAACTCTTCAAAAGCTGGTCCTGCCATCTCATTGTTATACATTTCTTCCTCTGTGCTTTGGCCTGCTTTGCAGTAAAGGATACCAATCTTATGTTGAAAACTCAGCTGAAATAAAAACAAAAGGAAAAAAAAAGGAAAGGAAAAATTACAGAAGCAAAGTAAAGTCAATACTAGAACAAATATTAACAATTAAGATATTAACACTGTTATAGCCCCTGGCAAAAGTTGTCCAAAAGTGAAAAAAATAAGTGTCCTGATTTGGGAAATTAAGTCACAAAAGACAGAAAGACAGAAAGACAGACAGAAAGAAAATCCCAACAAAAAACCCCCAACAACTATCTTGAAAGAAAACTGGATTCTCACTATCCAAACACAGATAAAAGTGGTACATGAAGACTTTTTACTTAGTTACCTATAAAAGTACACTTTACTGCATGTTATAGTGTGAGAACTTTAGTTGGCAATTTTTGAATAACTCTCTTCAGATTCAAAACAAGGTACACTTATTTTCCATTATTTCTACCCTTTAATGTTCAGTGCAGTTCAGTTAAAATAGGCTCTCAGAAAGTAACTTCTTTTGCCCTCCCCATAAAATGGTCCATTGTTAAAAATTATTCCCCATTTTCAGAAGTATACTTCAAGCTAGAAATCAGACTGCAGTTAAATAGTTTTGTTAAACAAACTAGAGCCTCAATTCTAAAACATTAAAAAGAGGTAAATTACTTCTATAAAACTAAATATAAAAACTATAAAAAGTTAAGTCTAAAAAGAGATTATTACTTCTTGAGCAGAGTATTGTCTTGTTTTCTTAGCTTTTATGCATACTTAAGATGACAAACAGGAAACCTCCATGTGAATGTATTAGTCCTATTATTCTCAACTGACAACTTTTAGAGCTTCACAAGCTGACAAAGACCACCAGTCACACCAGATTCCCTTAAGACATTCATCTATATTCACAACTCAAATCAACTCTCCAGCTGTAGACTTTTATTAAGAAAACTTCAGGATTAGTGTCTAAACTGTGTATTACGCAAAGAGTGCATATATTTCTATTAGAGTAAAGGTGACAAGAGCAGTCTGCTTCACCTTAGTCATATGTAATACATGGTCTGCTATGTTAAGTATATTGTAAAACTGAAATCCATAGACATGCTACTGCACTGATGTTTTACCACAGCAATTTTGAAGAAAAGCTACAAGATGAGAATAGTAAAAGGTTGAGTCAAGAAAACATACATACATGAAAGAAGAAAGTGGCAAAAATATCATTCCAGACTTCAAATAGTCCTTAACCTTCCCTCTTCAATGAAGTCCACATTTCTCCATTTTAAGTGGAGAGCTGTATATAAGGCAGTTGCCCACAGTGAATTAAAGGAAAACCAACAAAAAAACCCAAACCAAAAAAATGAAACTACCACCCAAGTCCTCATCACCCCTGGAGAAAAAGCTTTCACTGTGCTATTACCACCCTTCTGTGTTTCACGAAGAATCTCATGCCTAAAAGGTAAATGTATTCAAATCAAGTAAGAGGGAAATGTTAGACTATTGAAGTCAATAGCAAAACACTTCATAACATCAATTGAGCCTGGAGTTCTTTACTCACTATGAAGTTAAGCCTATCAGTGGGACAATTTCTTCTCATTTTAATAAGTACAAACAGGCCTAACTCCATTATTTCAGCAGATCTATATTGACAGCAATGGACACTACAGAATTTTGTCTACTGATGTTTAAAACCTGCAGCACAACAGGAATAAGAGTAATGTATGATGGCAGTGCTCCCATCTCTCTAGTAAGCCCAAATCCAGCCTGTCCCTTTGATAACTGCTTTATGTAGGGGTGAGCCCTTGTGGAACATACTCTGGCAGGAAGCCATTGACGAGGCAGCAGTTAGGACCAAAGAACAGTCTTAGAAAGGACAGGAACAAGGCATGGTGCTGCAGTAAGGTTTCACCTGGGCAGCACGAAACAGAGAAGAAGTAGGAGCTGTGCCAAAGTTTGATGTGGAATGGGAGGGATGACCATCTGAAATAAAAGGAGATTCTGGGTTATGGATGCACTGTAGGAGCTGCCTGAGTCAGACCACTGAACTCTGGAGCAGGACAGGGTTAAGATACCAACTTGCTCTTATAATTTCCTTTTGACTGGCATTAGATGCTATAAATCAAGAGTGCTTCCTTGTTTGATCTCCATTTTGAAGCACTGCCTGGAGAGAGTTAGGTGACAAAAGGTTCCAGATTGCACACTGGTGACTATTTTATTCAGTGAAAAGCTAGCATGAATATTTCATGGAGGAAGCTGGAAGAGAACCGGCCATATAAACATTAGATTATAGGAAGCAGTGCTATTACTTGACACTTCCCAGCAGAGACTTAAAATGATTGTGAGCACAGTGCCACCTCTATCCCAGCTCCATGTCAAATAGTTTAGCTTAAACCACAAGGAATTTAAGTTAAGTTCCTTAATTTCACACTAGAATGGAGGATTGGAGAAGTTAAATGCTAACTGAGCCACCAACAATAGGGGCAACAACTAACAGTAAAGAAGCACCTGGGCAAAACATTCAGGCTAGAAATATGCAGTCACACTCCTTCATTCTTTCTGAGGACACCAGTCATTCCTGATTTTGTTCATGAATATCAATATAATTCCAAACAGGAGTGAAGTATACCTCTATCTTCCAAAACAACCTACCATCTCATGGTTTAGATGTTGCCCTAGGAGATACTGAGGATGAGGATCTGAAACTCCCCAGCCCAAGGAAGGAATTAATCCTGGGTTTTCACTTTATACTGTAAACACTAGGCAATTATGTACAAATTTGATTCTACCAGTACCACTATTCCTAAACAAGCTGCAAGGTCATTTGCAGTAATCTGAGCCTCCTTCCCATATGCTACGAGCACTCCTGACTATGAAATTAGAAGACTTAAGCAAAAGAACTCTCATGCCAAGATCATGCTGACTGTGCAGAAGAAGAAATCACAGAATCACAGAATGGTAGGGCTTGGAAAGGATCTCTGAAGATCATCTGGTCCATCCTCCCTGCCAAGGCAGGATCACCTAGGGCAGGCTGCACAGGAACATGTCCAGTCAGGTTTTGAAGGTCTCCAGAGAAGGAGACTCCACGATCTCTCTGGGCAGCCTGTTCCAGTGCTCCATTACCCTCTCAGTAAGGAAGTTTTTCCTCATGTTGGGGTGGAACTTC